GAGCCGAGAATATTGCACCTTTTCACAATATTCTCATTTTCAAAGGTTGTGGATTTGGGGTTTTCATGAGCTGTAAGCCATAATCATCACAATTATGACAAATCACGGCTTGAACTATCTTGCTTTGCATGTAATGAGTCTATCTCATATATTAGTTTCACCTTTTAAGTTGCATTAGTGAAATAAATGAATTTTTGCACGATATTCTAATTATTCGAGTTTCACCTGTATATATCCCTCTCTGTATATCTCAGTGTGCGATGGATGTGATAAGCTGCAGAACACTGAGGTTGCTTCTCCCCCTCCGGGTCATGTAAACACACCTAATGGCAACGACCCCACGGACCATCAACTGTGTTCTCTGGTATATCACAAGTGTCCTTTTCCCTCCATTCCAGCTAATGGATATATAGCTAGGTGTTTACCCAATATTACATAGAGGAAGGAGCAGAGTCCTCCAGCAGTGCAGAGTATTTCAGGAGAGGAGAGTTGGAGGAAGGAGCAGAGTTCTCCAGCAGTGCAGAGTATTTCAGGAGAGGAGAGTTGGATGGAGGAAGGAGCAGAGTTCTCCAGCAGTGCAGAGTATTTCAGGAGAGGAGAGTTAGAGGAAGGAGCAGAGTCCTCCAGCAGTGCAGAGTCAGAATGATGAGGTCGGGATGTTTGGGTGTTATGACCACATTTCATAGATGTTTATCTCTCAGGAGAAGTCTCGGCTTGAACTCGTCCCTCAGATTTCAGACCCTCTGGCAGCAGATCCTCATTGGACCCTCATCGCTTTCATTCCCATAAAGTGAGTCAAACACATAAGTGATATATGTAAAGTGTTGTCACAGCGCTAAAGGTTTGAGATAAATATAAAAATATGTAGATATTTATGAATCAAAACATGGGTGACAACCCTGTGAATAAATATTCAAAAAAATCTACCAATATGAATATAAAGTATCAAAAAACAGGTGTAAATATAGGACTAAAAAAGTGCTGATGTGCAAACAATCAAAAGGAAAGCTCCATTCCTCAATAAGATAAGTGAATAGATGTAAAAGGATATTACAATGTAAAAGCCATAAAACTAAGTATAACAGTATATAACCATTCAATAAAAATATTTCATAAATATGTGAAGAAGTGCAAAATAGCAGTGAAAACAGTGAAGCAAATGCACCAATCAAAATTGTATTGCAAATGAAAAATAAAAAATAACAAAGGAGAAAAATGAAAAAAGTGCAAAGAATGAAAAAACACAAGTCCTTCCAAAAATTTCAGTCCGTGATGTGAACTAACAAAAAATGCACCAAAAAATATATATATATACGAACAAAAATAAAAATAAAAATAAAATATATCAATCAATATGAAAAAAAGA